GATGGCCGAGTTGTCGGCGGCCCTCGTTAGGGCTGAGACGTCTAAACTGCAAGCGATCAGGAAGAAATTCGCCTCATTGCAGTTCTCTAAGATCAGTTTTAATTGCAAACTCAAAGGGGCTTTAGTTCAACGACTAGCCAGCCAAGCCAAGATACTGAAAATTTAAATTTATTTACATTATCCCATATAAATATTACGTAATATTCAAATTGTACTTGATTGGGAGGCACTTCCAGGTCAAACACAATGACGAAATGACTACTATATGACCGATCAGCTCTGGAGTCCCTCAGGGAAGCGTTTAGTGAGAAGGTTGAATCTGATGCTTTAATAATAAATTATCAACATTTGGCGTCAATTTTGTAAGGTTTAATCTTAAATCTCCTCGGCTAATAATGTCCAGTCTGTTTCTTTTTTTCGTTAGGAGATTGGTAACTTTCCACTAGGTATGACGATGGAAAGGAAATTAAAAATTTCCTCGCTATATTCCATAATACTGGATAAGTAACGGAAAGGGTATGTTGTTTTGCAGCCAGGATTGCTGTTATCCGTTTTTTAACTGAATCTTAAGTTCTTCGTTTGTACTTAGTTCAGTTAGTTCCTCTTGTATTATGACATTCCTTTCTTCTATGTCACCATATGTGTTAAACCTAGTTTAAAAATCTGAATAGAGGGCATTTAGATGTTGTACGTATGTTGAAACGTCGTCTTCCTTGTCTGTGACAAATTGGGAAACTGGGAAAATTCGCCCCGTCCAAAATTTTGCTTCATTAGTTTAACTTTGGCAAGAAACGCTGATAAGATGGACTTTGTTTTCTGCAAATTTAGACTGTCGCCTTGTAACTGCAAATGAACCATATTAAATTTTGTAAACAAATCTGTTAAATAGGCGATGTCTGTTTTCCACTTCATTAAATTGTCTTTTAAAATTTTATCTTTAGTATCCAGAAATTCTAAAATAGTCTCAAAAAATGGAAAAAATCTTGTCAAACATAAGCATTTTGACAGCCAGCGTACTTCAGTGTGAAGGTGTAATTGATGAAAGTGTTTGTCATTTTCTTTACACAACTTATTTATTGACCCGCATAAAATATCAAATATAAAAGTGTAAAAAATATATAAAATAACAGAACATAATAAAATATAATAAAATAAAATATAATAAAATATATGGAATAATAATTAATACCGACAATAATGATGAAATAGAGTAGAAAAAATAAAATATAAATAAAATGCACATAATAATTACATCCCATCCCTTATGATGTAATGCTGGCGGTACATTTGCGCCTGTATTCCACGTCGTGGAAACCGACCAAACGCACACCAGCATTCGGTGCTTTCCTCTGCAATTTCGATGATATTGTGGTGCTCACTCCAGCCCGCAGCTGGTATTCCGGGAAGGTCTGATAAGGGCTCTACCTGGTTAGGGTATATAAGCGACAACATTTCTGTACCCGCTCTCTTTTCTCTTTACTCTCTTATTTCATGTCTTCGCTTCCGCTACTCCTGTGTCTTAATAACATGTTAGTTTCTCTGTATTATCTCGTGTGTATTCTCTGTGTTAGCCCTCGGGCCTCGGACCCATTATACTGTAAGAAACCTTTGTAACATATGTATCCTTTGTATCACACACATATTGTAATTAGCCATGAATTATATTCCAATAAACATATACTACGAGCATCTCTAAAGTGGTGACCCCGACGTGATCGAATTCTAAAACAAAATGGAGAACGCTCAAGTAGTAACAACCTTTTACGACATGGCAACACACCGTCCACAAGATTTTCGACAATATCAACATCGACAAACTGGATCAACAAGCGATAAGACGATTAGCACGGTACGACTCCATATGGATCATACCCTGCTCTTGCGGAGAACTTCACCACGGTAATACGACAATTATTGCCGATGTAACTGTCCAGCAGCGGCGAATCCCCTGGACAACTGAAACAACAACATCGACAAACTGGATCAACAAGCGATAAGACGATTAGCACGGTACGACTCCATATGGATCATACCCAGCTCTTGCGGAGAACTCCATCACGGCATTACGACGTGCCGATGTAACTGTCCAGCAGCGGCGAATCCCCTGGACAACTGGGACACAACAACCTTCTCCGCCTCAACCGTACCAATGTAGAACTGCAACACGGCATTAAGACGTGCCGATGTGACTGTCCAGCAGCGGCGAATCCCCTGGACATCCTTCTATATATGGCTCATTCTGTGCACCGTAATCAAGCGTTTCAGCTGGTGACCCTTACCCTTCGACAAGCTAGGCATCATCCGGAGTTCAATTCAACGACGCTTCCGAATGCATTCGCTCAACGGATCAAATCACTAGCAAGGGGGTACTGTGGTGCTCACTCCAGCTCGCTAATATGACGTCACCTACAAGCCCGGTACGGTGCGCCCCACTCCAACCCGCAGCTGGTATTCCGGGAAGGTCTGATAAGGGCTCTACCTGGTTAGGGTATATAAGCGACAACATTTCTGTACCCGCTCTCTTTTCTCTTTACTCTCTTATTTCCTGTCTTCGCTTCCGCTACTCCTGTGTCTTAATAACATGTAAGTTTCTCTGTATTATCTCGTGTGTATTCTGTGTGTTGGCTCTCGGCCTCGGACCCATCATACTGTAAGAAATTTTTGTAACATATGTATCCTGTGTATCACACACATATTGTAACTAGCCATGAATTATACTCCAATAAACATATACTACGAGCATCTCTAAAATATCTTCATCTCTCTGTGGCCATGGTAAGCCTTGTAGAGTCATTCGCCTCTCTGCGCTGCTTCTCCAGGTGGTGTGCAAAGGGCAGCGGAACCAGGACTGTGTCTTCTTCTTCGCCACAGGCACAATCCGATATCTTTGTTTGTCTAAATCGCTTTCGGTAGTGTCCGAATTTGCCATGCCCCGTGATCAGTTGTACCGCCTAGTGAGGTAGCTCAACCTTCTTCCTCTGCCATTCCGCGATGGACGGGATAAACTCTCTGGTCCAGACACCAGCTGCTCCACATTCTCTGCCAAGTTTCGGCAGAGTCCCGAGATATTAGTGACTTGAGGGTTCCCATGGAGTACTTGGCGTAGTTAGTGGTAGGAAGACTGGTCGCTTGCGTGTCGGATTCAACTGCGCCAGATGCAGATCTAGCCAGTGTAAAAATTCACTGGTTCCACTTTAGCAATAATACAAAAAAATTTAATATAGAGAAGTATGTAGAAGTATGTTTGAATATTAAACTACTAATAACTGAAGTCATGATTGGCGTAATTTATCTATCTTTGCTATTAGCTACGAGTATAAAACTAAAATTTAATAAAAAATAATGTACTTACTTTTCTCCGGCACTCTCAAACAACTGAGAATAACACTGATTCACTATAATTTGTGAGATAAACTACTAGTTTATATTTTCTTAGCACTTTCCTTTTCAAAATTCAGGAAACGAATAAACGTATTTGTCTCACATTCGCATTTGTGAGTGAAGCATTTAATTTTCAAAACAATAAGAACAAAAAAAAATCAGTGTGGTTACTTTCTTTGTGTGCGAGGAGTGGTTTAAAGCTCTAAGTTTAAAGTTCAAACCACAAAGATAATGCCTACATCTTACAACTTACACAATTTTATAAACATATATAATACATTTTTTACTTCAAGTAGGTACTCGTGGACCCCCATTTTCATTTCATGGACCCCGAAATTGTTTTCGCTGACGTAGACCCCTTGCAGGTTGTCATAGATCCCTGGGGGTCGATATAGACCACTTTGGGAATCACTGCTCTAGAGCACCAACACCGTCCTCTTGGAACACACAAATATATATATCAAATATCTTCTCAACTGGAGACCTCGACCGTCTTCCTTCGCGGTTCGCTGCGCAAGAAAGTTGTTGGTTATTTTAGTTGTGTGAATGGGCGCATGGTCGTGATGTAAAAAGTAGCGACGAAAATCTCCTTTTTTCTGGTTTTCCAACAAATTTTTGAAAACTTGTGGTAAGCAAGTTTCTATGTACTACTTAGCAGTTACCCTCTGACCAGATTCGAGTGAGATAGCAGCTCGACATCACCTCACCTGATTTTGTCTTGCTTTAACTGAGGGATTTGCACCTTCTGCACTCCATACCATGGACTGCTGTTTGGTTTCCAGGTCAAAGTTATGGAATCAAGATTCTTCACCTGTTACGATTTTATTAAAAATGCTAAAATCTGCATCTCCAAATTTTCCAAGAAATATTCGGCAAAACGAACACGTACCTTTATTTGGTCGTCATTTAAAAATTGTGGAACCCATCGAGCGGATTTCTTCGTATAGCCAAAGTTATGATTTAATATTTGCGATAAAGTCATCGCATTCAAGCACAGTTCCTGTGTCACTCTTCGATCTTCGTCAAGTTTTACTTTCACTAGAGCTACATTTGTATCATAGGTCGAAGATTTCGGGCAACCTTTTTGCGGTTCATTCTCCACAGAAAAATGTTCGGTCTGAAATCTTTGAAACCACTTGGAAATAGTCACAAGGGATGATGCATTCACTCCATATGAATTTTTGCATTCCTGCAAAATTTGACTATTCAAGCCTTGAGTTGACGTCGAATTCCGTAGAGAATGGCAATTTTTTTTTGCTGTGTTGGTGGTGGAATTTCTATCAACCTTACGTCACTAATGTTGCATTTTCTCCTATCCATTCTTACCGCTCTTCTTGAAATTTGATATGAAATATCGTTAGTCTTTAACAAATTGAGAAACAACTTTTGTTTTTCAGAAACAAAGCAATCTTTTATTAGACCTCTTGTATAATGAATTCCTGATACAAATTTTTATTGGCCTTAATTTGGGTTACTTATAAAATAATATTTATAAACTTATGTATTATTAATTCATAAATTGTTTTATTGACTTTTGAGGCATTATTTTTGTTTTGTAAATTAAAAAACTTAATATAAATAAATAAGTCTTAAGTAAATTATGTTTATAGTAAATTTAATTGTATTTTACATATATATTGAAGACATTATAAGATTTAATTGTTTACTTTTCTCAGTTATTTTACATACCTTCGAATTAATGATTTTTTTTTAGTTTGGAGCGCTGAATTTTTATAACAATTCAATTTGCGATTGTTTGAGTTGTTTATAGGAATTTTAGTGATTAAAAAAATAGGAAGTAGGTAAATAAATCGAATATTTTTCACAAGAATAATCAATAAATTTTATTGAAATACAAATGAAAAGATTGATCGAATTCAATGTCGTACAATAATATAATTATAATCATAATAGTGCGGGTTTATTTTTTTTGTTTTTAAATATATTTAAATATATATATATAATTACTTCAATTCCGACCGATCGAAGCGTTTTATACAACATCGTCTTCAACCACCAATTATTTTTTTCATCTTCATCGTCTTTGGGTTAATCCATCACATATACAAATTACAATATTGTGTTATACATATATTTAATATGATCAAATATCATTTGCTTTCGTTTAAAAAATACACTTACACGCTAAATCCTTCGAAATATATATTTTACAAATCCTTAGAAACTACGTTAATTCCTCCTGTTAACGTTCATTCATTTTTTTCGAATTTTTCGGTACTTTTTTTTTGGGTTTTTCGCATTTCTGCAAAATTTAGCGCGTCTTAATCAATGCGAATATTAACTTCTAAAATACTTAATAGAAGGGGGGCGGGCAACAATTGCCGGGGGAATTGCGTTATATAAAAGGGGGGACGTAATCACGTTTAGTATACTTAAAAACGTACGATTTACAATTAGAAATAGGGGGGCAGGTTGAGTGTTTCTTTTAATTAATCTTCACTTACATTTTAAAGTGTGGCTTAAAGTGAGTAGGTGAGTGAACTACAATTGAAAAAATCTTCGAATATTTAAATATATTAATTATAACAGCCATTCAAAATACACTAAAAAAATTGAAATACATGTATTTACATTGAAAAAATGGGGCGGGAATTACTCGTTTACATTATGATTATATTTTTTTCCTTCTCAACTTCTTCATCGTCTCCATATAGTCTGTATTTAATATATTTATAATAAATAGTGTTATTATTAATAATTAGTATAAGATAGAGTTTTTTTTTATATATTTTTTTAAGGTTCGGGTTTTGTGTTCTTCTTTTGTTGCATGTGTTTCCTTTTCCTTTTTTCTTGTTGCTGTGGATATGCTGAAATCAAATGGATCCTATCGTTGGTAGGGTGAGTTGGGTGGTGGCGGTGTTTGCTTGTTAATTTATGTTAAGCGCAGTAGGAGAGCGATCATTGTTAAGCCGCAGACAGCTCGTATGCTTGGAGCGGCGGAGTTGATCTCTGCATATGACGGGGTGTTCATGAGGTTCCTGAGGAGGGTCTCCTCGGTGGGCGCCTCCTTCTGAGGGCACGGGAGGTCCGCGAGTGGAATCTGGAATAGGTGTTTCATCCGTGGATCCTGACGTTCCATTACCAGGTTGTTGGAGCTGCTGTCCTGCTGATGGTCGTAGTTGTAGTCCTCGTAGGCTGCTGCGTCTAAATCCTCATCCTCCGCAAAGGTGCTTTTATCGTCCTGATCATCTTCAACTCCTGCAGCGCCCAAGTAGCAAATCAACTCATCCAATACCTTGCGAATTCTTTCATTTCTGGTCTCGTTGCGTAAATTATGCATCCAGGCCAAACGACAATCGCAAATGAATTTGTTATCTGCAAACAGAAAGAAACACAAACATTAGATAAACACTACTCAAGTTTTTAAAAATTGTTGAGTATATTTGTTGAGTTACTTTCTATTTGGTATATTTTGTATGCAAAGTGTTGACATCTCTTAATTGGTAGTTTTCTACTAAATATTTTTTGTTTGTTTTATAAGTCAATTGGTTGATTTGCACATTTGCTAACAAATTTAAATTCCGTTGATATTAATTAAAGCTTTATATTCCTAGTATACTTCTAATATTAATTGCTTAATTAATTATTTTCTCTTAACCAAAAAATAAGTTGATTTAAAAAAAATTGTTCATCAAAACAATAAATATGAAGATCTGCTATAAATAAAAATTTATGTATGTTAATTAAACGTAAAAATCTTCAATTTTGTGTATAAAAATTTTGCTGCGCCCATTTTTTGTATGCCACTAACACATGCAATGTACAACATCCTTCTTATTACATTATTTGTTCTTCTTTCCTTGTACTTCGTCTTTCTTTCATGTAAAAAAATAAAGAATGACGAGGATCGGCGCTGAAAGTGCTCGAGCAACTCCCAAAGGGGATCGAATATTTATTATTTTTCGTAATGACTGAATTAGGACGAAGCAAGGAGGCGGCCCCAATTTGCCGCACGCAAATTGAAATCATTATAATAATCTAAATAAAGTAGCGATAATTATTAGAAATTAAAAAGAAACATAAACCGACATTTTCATTCCGAGTTTTCCCTTCATTTAAATTATAATATCATACCTATTAATTTTCTGTCGTTTTGTTCAACGATTATTTTAATGATTATGATGATTGTGGAGAAACATGAAGGTAGTTTGCAGTCAATTACGGATTTATATTTGAAATTTCAGGTGTTTTGCAAACTAAGATTTTTATTATTTTTTCATCCAATATCTTTAATATTATTTTTAGTATAGCTATTCTATCTTAAAATACTTCCAACGCGTAAATAACGAAAGAATTTATAAAAAGGTAATAAAGCTCTGCGAAAATCGTAGCGTGACGAACCAAAAAGTGAAAGCTAACATTGTTGTGTTTGCAAATTAAAAGTTTTATTATTCTTGAGCTTAAAAAACATATTTTTCATCCAAAGTCTTCTACAAACATTGCTTAACTTTACTAAGTATCAATAATGTAATGAATAATATAATTTTATTATTATTTTAAATTCAACTTAAAAAAAAATAGTATATAGATTCAAATGTTTTCAAACTATTTTGCCGAGTATTCCATTAAGTTAATTTACAAAATTATATCTATTAATTTTCTGACCCAAATCCCTTTTGTTCGACGACTATTTTGATGATGATGATGATTGTAGAGAAACATGAAGGCATTTCGCAGTAAATTGAACGGATTTTTATTTGAATTGGTGTTTTGCAATCTAAGATTTTTATTATTCTTGATATATTTTTCATCAAATGTCTTCAATGTTATTTTTAGTGCAGCTATTTTATGTTAAAATATTTACAACGCGTAAATTACGACGGAATTTATAAAAAGCTAATAAAGCGCTGCGTTTAACTCCTTTCGTTTGGAAAATAATTTGACGAAAATCGTAGCGTGACGAACCAAAAAGTGAAAGCTAACATAATCGATATTTGTAGTAATGTGTTAATATTTTATAGAAATGTTTCTATTTGGTTGAAGGTAAACCTTTTAACGGTGCATATACACTATTCGTGTCGAAGAACATAAATATTTGTCAATAACCAATAGAGATCGAATGTTAATAAAACTTAACTGCCATCTGTTATCAACTATATATATATAGTAGTTAGTGAACCTGATAAATATTTATAATTTTATGTCCCTGGACACGCATGGGGAAGTTGCATCATAATCAATACGAACGAATTGTTAATTTAAGTTCAAATTATTTTTTAAAAATATATTTCTTCAATTATCGTTGATTTTACAATAGGAGTTACAAAAATTTTGCTTTGTAATCAAAATGAAATGATTTATAGGTGTGAAATGTAACTGCACTTTGGAATATAAAAGCTAATGTTTGATGCCGGCGGCGCTTGTAAATTGCTGCAAAATGCTCTCTTTAAGTTTTATTATTTTTCGTCGGAATTTATCGACGCGCATATTATTCCCGATGGATGGTAGAAAGCTGGGGTTAACTGGGAATCCATGAATAAGTGAAACGCAATATTTATGATGGTCTGAGACACGTAGCACTTTGCCAAACATCATCAAATATTAACTAACTTTTGTGTACAAAACACCTGTAAAATATCAAAAAAAAACTTACAGTTTCATGAACTTTTAATAATTTCGTGAGTTACCAGTTTGTAAACGGTGGATGCGCAGGGTATAATGTATAGTTTACCGCTGCCTCGATTTGCTTTAACGAGGTTTGTTAAAAATCCCAAAATTTACCCGGATTATGGCGGCATTTCATTGATTCGTATATAATAGGTTTATTCCCGATCACGTAGCGCTGCGCTTCTCCAGAATCTATGCTTGTTTGAGATGTAGATGAGCAGGATATTAAGGAGTTACTGCAGGTTTCTGGTGAGTGCTTTACCAACAACGACCTTCAAGAACTGGCAGAACAAGTAATTGAAGAAGCTACTGATTCGGAAGACAATGAACCAAAAGAACTTGTTACAGATTTTCTTAGAAGATGTTCAGAAACGATAACCGAAATCGTTAATCAAATTGTAGAAAATGATCCAAATTTTAACAAGAAGAGGAACAGATACCAAAAACATGAAGAGGAGTTTTGGATACGATCGCCTGTTACCAACATTTGCTTAATGAAAGCAAAATAAATATTCAAAGCCAGGACTTTCATCAGAGAAATAAACTTCATTTTGCTATGTGTTAAAATTACCTCCTCGTTTAGCGCTATGTTTTCAGGAACTTTAAAGCGCTAAACAAGGTCTTATAGTATGCTAAAGTAAAGTTTTTGAAAATTTACCTATTAATGTTTACTTGTTTATAAAAAATAAATGCTTTAATAAAATAACTGATGAATTAAAACAAAATTAATATTTCAAATAATTAATAACAAGAAAGTTTAAATAAATAATTTGTGTTAAAGTTGAAAATATGGAGTGAACTATGCTGAATATTTATGAAATAAGGAAATATAATATTAACTAACTGTAAAAAACTTGCAGTTTAGTGTTTTGGAATTATTTCAATTTAGTTTAGGTTCTTAATTAATTCATGAGTTACCAGTAACTGGTGGATGCGCCAGATGTGAACTCTGCTGAATATTTATGAATTAAAGTAATAAAATATTAACTAACTGTAATACTTATAAAATTTAAAAATAACGATAAAATATTTATTGTTATATTTATTCGAAAAAATTGTTAATATTTTCAATTATTAATAAAAGGACAATTTAAACAAATAATTGCTGTTGAAGTGGAAACCTATCGATCATTTATTTGTTTGAAAATTTTGAAGTGGACTCTGATGAATATTTATGAAATAAAGTGTGTATGTGGAAACAGGCAGTCGTGGTTGAACAGCACCACCGAGGATAGTAAATAATGTATGCCGAAAACATAATAATAATCGTCCAAAACTGTAACGCGTTTAGCGTATAATGCGGAGTACGTCGACGATATCACGGATCACATATACATATAACAACGAGAAGTTTGGAATTTGCACTTAAGAAGATGAAGCAAAAAAAGCGTAAATGGAATTGGTGCACCAAAGACAAGAACAAAGTATATTTGAGCTTGAATAGAATATTCATCTTGCTTAATTTCTTTTAAAATGGAGAAATAGATGTGTTTTTTCTTCTTCTTTTCATTCCCCTTGATGAAATAATCAATCTGAGTTAATCTGATGCGACAGATGATGGAAACATAAATGAAATAATTTCCTGTACGTTTGGAACAATCAAGGTATTGGATTTTGACGTATATTGCGTTTTTGATTTTAAGTATAATTGCGTTACGCAGTTGTTCAAGTTGTTGTATAACGTAACGTTTCATAATGGAGTTTCATGTGTGTTTGGAACATCATTTTAGCTGTCAAATGTCATTTTTTGCATTCTATTTCTATATGCTAAGTTGTGATTCAAAATTGTTACATGTACTGCAATACATCGCATGGTGTGGCTTCTATGAGTATTTACTAGGGGTTGACTGATGTTTTCTAAAAGTTTATATAATTTAAAACCGATTTTGAGCATCAAAATATAAAAATGAATTCATTATTTTAATGATTTCATTAAAAACATAAACATTTTGACACAAAATCGTGTATGGGAATATTGTTGAAAACTAAGTTTCATGAAACAAAACAAAATTGAAACGAAGTCCAATACGTTTAGTTGATGAAGCTTTAAGACGACAAGATGCGAATATATAATAAATAAAGGCATATTTAAGTATATGTTGCCTGAGTTTATGAAAACTGAAATTATTTCTAAGATATTAGATGCTCTGGATCAGATTTTATAAAAAATTTTCTTTGCGACGGAACACTTCGTAAATGAACTGAATTTTTTGTAAGGTAGATAGCGAAAAAACATTAATTATTTATTTAGTAATTATTTCATTTAAGGTTTTCTCGGAACACGTATTAACACTGGTGTTCCGCGAAACATAGTTTGGGAACGCATGCTGTAGAAACATAAATTCAAGTAACGGGATTAGTAATACTTCTCACTTATTTAGAAAATCCACACAATGATTAGACAAAGACGTGTAATAAATTTCTTCCACTTGTTTCAAAGAGTGAGTTTAAGTAATTTGGACAAATATTCTCAAAATTGTATCCAAAATATTCAATAGAAGATTACTACGATGATGAAAAATGCGACGAAGAAGAAAATCAAGCCACATCTTCAAGAACCTGAAAAAGTTAAGATACTAAAAAAAGGTGTTTTTAGTATTAGAGAGTACAAACGAAAGACGAAAAATTTAGATTTTTTAAGGTTCTATAATCCTCTATTAGTTCGGTTAAATAATGTGAGATATTATTATGAGAGATATTGATTCTTT